TTTACTGTACTCTTTAACCAATGTAGCTATATTGTAAATATCCACCCAAACGGCGTGGAATGTTATTGTATTTGTATTTGTTTTAAATTGGAAAATAAAAGCATTATATAAAAAAAAATAATGTTATCATCAAAAAAAATCTCTTCGTATTTGCTGTAGTCCCACGTATTAGAGCCGCATGAGGTTCCTTCGATGTCAAGAGGCGGTTCTTCAGCTCCATGCACACATTTTAATACTTACGAGCCGACCCGCTGCGTATCATACGCCGCTATTTAGTTGTTTTTTTTTCTACTTTTTAGTAATTTATAATTTGTGAATTCGACAGTACCAATGCTGCCACTGAAAATATTTGCTTAAAAACACTACCCCCCCCCCCCCTCCCCCCCCCCCCCCCCCACACGTGAAAGCAGCTTCCTCTTAGTTACCTCCTCTAAGTTTTAAATCAATTCAAACTAAATTATCTGCCCCTAATAGCCGTCACCAAACCCGTCTCCATGATTGTAAAATGTAAACAGCGTGAACCACAGCTCACCAGACCATGTGAGGGGGTGGGGGTGGGGGTGGGGGGTGGTAGCGATAGAGAGGAAGAGAGGGGACTGTAAGGCGCGCTTGCAGCTTGTTTTCTAACGGCTTCCAGAAGAGAATTATATATATAGATTTTAGGTGAAAAACTAAAAGAAAAGAATTATTCTGCAAGAGTCGCCAATAAACGATACAATAATAAACAATAAACTCACTCTATTCTATTAGAATATTTAGTTACTACCTATTTCAGGGTACTTCCTGTTAACTTGCCCATCCTGAATTGAAACATTCAAGTTCATTGTGGATATTACAAATAAACGAAAAAAGCTAAATGTAAAACTGCAAGGAAATAAAAACCACTGTTTCTTCCAGACTTTTTTCTCCGGGGGGGGGGGGGGGGTGGGCGGTCGGTCAACACGTTTCGGAGTGACGGACACTAGTAAAAGTGTATTAATATATAAAATCCATCTCGTGGGTGGGGGGGCGGAAGACTTTCTTCGCCGCCCCCCCCCCCTGCCCACGAAGAGATGCCTGGAAGAAACTCTGATGAAAACCTAGCCTATGCCTTTGCTTGAAGAAGTGGATTGTTTCGAAATTATTATTATTTTGTTGTTGTTGTTGTTGAAGACACGGAGAGCGATAAATTACTTAAGTTCCATAAATATGAAGACAATATCATGATGAAACCATTGCTACTATTAACAGGAATTACTTCAGCATTACAATAAATAAAATAAATGATAGATAGAATTGAGAGTTTTGAGCAATTCAAAACAAATGCAAGTTCTGTGGTGTTCATAGTAGATTCTCTCAATACAAAAACAAATGAGATCAACATTGAGCCATTTAGAATTGATGCTGGTTCGCTTCAAATGTAATTGCTGGATTTGAAAACCAAACATTTGTGGAGTGGTAAGTTCACGGAAATCAAGACCAATTAGAAGATTTGGAGGTCCAGAGAAACACGCACGCTTCGCTGCACAAATGGACGACTCTAAAAGATATGCTGCGAGTTGAGGCACTAATATGTGACGCATGGAATAGTCTCCCAGGATAGTAAAGTGAGGTGAAGAAGTTGATATCTGGAGTGCTGACGATCTTCGGGTCAACATATTCATGCAAGCCAGCGTTTTCTTGCATGAATATAATAAAAAGTAAAGAAGCCGGGACATCCAGGGCGTCAAGCGAGCGTTCTATCGCTAGACCATTCCACTCCACTGATTAGCGTTAGGCAAAGTATTAGCGGCTGGGTATTGTGCTGAACACACTACCCCCCCACTCCTTTATATCGCGAGATAATTTAAATTAATTGACTCTATTTCGTATGTCTCATGTATCTGGGGTGCGAACTGGAGATGATGTATACATGTTTTTGTTATAACAACGCTGTTTGCTATAATCTTTATTACTTTGTAATTGGCTTTTTACGTCTGTCCGTCTGTCTGTGACTTGATACATGAAGTAAAACTGCAACGTATGGGTTTTATTGCGTGCTTTTTACATTTGAATATGTCATACATTTGTATATATTTTATCTCTTACATCTTCTTGAAATAAATTTAATCTTACCCTTTAGCTAGTAGAAGATTTTATATAAATATCTTATTTTTCAAATGCTACACGTGTTTCAGATGTGCTGCTAAATGATATTTAGCCTATCTTTAACTCTAAGATGGACTACAAAAGAAACACCGAACACAGAACAGTGAATGTAATAAAATGAATTTGATACAAGGGTGTTCAGACTAAAAGAAATCGCTTTATCGTACTTTGTTGTTTTCTAGAAATGTATCCTTCATAAATGGCTCCAACTTATAAAAGTGTCACGGAGCCCAACAGAACTGAGCCCGTAACTCAAGACATTAGAACTAGCAGTAGAACGCTTTGTTTTTAGTATTATAGCTTAAAAAGTGTACTCTTACTTTTGTAATTTAGCGCGTGTGAAAGCTCGTTATTATGTAGAGCATTAGACATGTTTTTCCCCTACTATTTAGTATTAGATGAAGAAATAAATAAAGTACCGTTATACAAATGACGCAACCCGCCATATTGTCAAATGATCAGGAGGTCGATTAAACCACACCCAAAAGAACAACCCCCAACCCCCACTAATCTAAACACCCACACTAATCTAAACACCCCCACTAATCCAAACACCCAACACTAATACCAAACACGCCCACTAATCCAAACACCCGCACTCAACTTACCCACAGTAAACCCAATCACATGAAGATGTATTTATATACACACAAACACTCAAATAATTTCCTTTGCTACACTACAACTACAACATCACAAAATCATTTCTCCCACCTTAAATTCTCCCGCACGAAATTCTCCCACTTTAAATTCTCCCAAACTAAATTCTATCACACTAAATTCTCCCACACTAAATTCTCCAGAACAAAATTCTCCCACATTAAATTCTCACAAACTAAATTCTCTCACACTAAATTCTCCCACACTAAATTCTCCCAAGCTAAGTTCTCTCACAATAAATTCTCCCACATTAAATTCTCCCAAACTAAATTCTCCCAAACTAAATTCTCACAAACTAAATTCTCCCGCACTAAATTCTCCCATACTAAATTCTCCCACACTAAATTCTCCCATACTAAATTCTCCCACACTAAACTCTCCCACACTAAAAATCTCCCAAATCTACACTCGATACAAAAATAGTCTCCACCAAAATCACCCAAACATCCAACTCCCCCTTACTAGATTCCATCACACACTCCCTCCCCACCTCACCCAACATTGTTTGAAAAACTGACACAGAATATTAGTGTTAGTCCCGAGAGTGCACCAAGGTGTAACACAGTTCACAGCGGTTTGCTGTCGTCTTTTGTTTCTGTCAAAATATCTCGAGCTTACAATTTTTGTCAGGGGAAATAACAAACAATAAATCTTTTTAAATGGAGGTAATTATAAAATTAAACGATAAAAAGAAAAGAAAAAAAAATAATATATACTGTAACAAAAACAAGAAAACACATGTTAGTATTAATTATAAAAAATTAAATTACAAGAAAAATATTTAAAACGTTTGGTTATAAATAAAAAAAATGTTAATTGCAATTCCTAGTAATTGTTAGTTGTTAATCCAATTATCATTAGTCACTAGTATCAACCATCTGTAATATAAATACTAAAAAATCGCCCAAACATCCAACTCCCCCATACTAGATTCCATCACACACTCCCTCCCCACCTCACCCAACATTGATTGAAAAACTGACACAGAATATTAGTGTTAGTCCCGAGAGTGCACCAAGGTGTAACAGTTCACAGCGGTTAATTGTTAATTGCAATTCCTAGTAATTGTTAGTTGTTAATCCAATTATCATTAGTCACTAGTATCAACCATCTGTAATATAAATACTAAAAACCGATGTTTGGATTTATTTTTAATTGTCTTTCCTATATCTGCGTATTTACTGTAACCGCAACATACCAAACCTTCCCTCTTCCGCAAAATCCCCCCCCCCCCCCCAAACATACACAAACTGTAAACAGTAACACATCAGCAGTCAGATCACACAGCACAGAATTTGACGCCTGGCTTGCCCTAAACACACACAGACACTCACTCCATAGCACGTCAAACACCCCACCGCCTCCCCCCCCCCCCACCCGCCCACATCACCCTAACTGTTCCAACGTCCGAACCAACCCCCAAAACATCAGCTTCTAATATTTATTCATTTACTTATTTACCTATTTTTGTAATTCACCATTGTACAAATGTAAACGAAATCTGTGTAAAACAACAAATCTGTGTGTGTGTGTGTGTGTGTGTGTGATTACTCTACTGATTATTCATTTTTTCTTTGTTTATTGTACAGAATGAGATGAAATCCATGTAAACTAGCTTTGTTTTCGACTATTCTTCCATACGTTATAGGCTACTCCTCCACCACTTTTGTTGGCAAACATGTTACAAACCAGCCTCTTTTCAATTTTTAAACCAACAAGCTTTAAACTCAATGTAATATTTACATATTTCGCTATTTATTTACTATACTCTGTACACCAATGTAACTATCTTGTAAATAAAAAAAAAAAAGAATTTAAAAAGACTTACTGCAACCGCAGCTTTTTTATCTACACTTATAACCCAACAACCATCACTCTTTACATTCAAATAAACTACAAAAACAAATCTCTCAATATTCTTATCACAATCGCCGGGAGAAGACAAACGTGTCAAATTTGCTCCTCCACCCTACACTGGACCAACCAATGCCAGGAAGCAAATCTCTCAACAACACAGAACCCTTCAACAACACAGGAATCAGCTACACCTGCACAGCAGCGCAGCAACCAACGGAATACTCAATATAGGTTTACTGATGTACTCTTTCTGCGTCTAGTGTCTAGCTAGCAAGATCTAGATCTATCTAGATCTAGACCAGATTCTAGATTTGGCTCACACGCGTACACAAGTCCTAAAGTTGTGATTTATCGTGATGGCGTCTGAAGTAGAGTTGGCGCAATCTGCACAGCCGGGAGGAGATACAATATTTGGAAAAATTATTCGAGGAGAAAAAAAACACATTTTTTTGTATGAAGATGAACAGTGTGTAGCTTTCAAGGATATTGCACCACAAGCTCAAGTCCATGTTCTAGTTGTACCCAAGAAACAAATTGTTAAGCTTTTAGATGCACAAGACTCTGATGATCAGTTATTGGGCCATCTTCTCATTGTAGCCAAAACAGTTGCTAAAGAGCAAAGCCTAGAAAAAGGGTTTCGAATCATCATCAATGATGGGAAAGATGGTGGTCAGTCTGTGTACCATATCCATATCCATGTTACTGGAGGTAGACAGATGGAATGGCCACCAGGTTAGGAAGGGATAAATATTCCAAGTGAACTGAACAATTTAGGCTACAGTGATAAAAAGTTTAAAATTTAGCAGATATCTGTTTTGTCAGTTTTAACATATTTTTCTTGTTGTTTTTTTTTTTTTTTTGCATAATATTTTCAGTTTATTTTATTATATTTTATGTTTAATAAATTCTTTTGAAAAATGGTTCTTTGTTTTATTACATGAATTCAATTTTTAAAATAAAAATGTGAACATTAATTATGTGTCTTAAATTATATGTTTTCATTTTTAACCATCTAGATAATTTTGTAAACAAATAAAATTTAGGTAAAAAACCTCAACAACATTTTTTTTTACTGAAGTCTCACATAATATGTTAGCCAAGGGGTCGGCAACCTGCGCATCGCGAGCCGCATGTGGCTCCTTTAATGTCATGGTGCGGCTCTCCAGTTCCATGCACAATGATTAATAATTGCATAGTTTCATTTTCAAAACGCATAAAAATATTATACAGTAAAGAAAAACAACTTTAAATAGGATTAAAAAACCCATCAGAGAACAGTGAGAATAGGTAAAGTAGAAAGTATACGGGCAGCCGCTTGGGCACCAGGCTCAACCCCACAGCCCCACTGTAGCCAGCCCTGTTGCGACTATTCCTTGTTTGCCACTGCCCAAGGGCCGCCCCTTTCGATTGTCGTTACATGGGGAATGTTGTTTTATTCAGAATGCATTCCTCTACCTGTCAGTATGCAATAATTTGACCTGAGTGACGTAGTATGTTAGTTATTAGTTTCTTACGGTTGAGCTATAAGGTACTGGACTCTGGGTTCGCGTAGGGTGAAAGATAAGCCTTGTGAGAACCGAAAGACAGAAGCGACCGATACAGTAATCAAACCGATATCCAAGCCAGTTAGTCGGAGTTTGCCGTGCTGAGGCCTGCCTGGTTTGAAAGACACCTACTGAACCAGTGGTGTCCGTAAAGAAAGAAACAAAAAGTTATTGGCTTCTAAATTGGATTGGGATAGTCCTATAGTTAATTATGTGATTTCTAATTTTATTATAACAGATCTAGGTAAAACAATTTTTGTGCGAAACATTTGTTTGTTCTTATATGATAATAAGTACATATTTAGAGCATTTATTTCAAATCAAAATCAAGTGTATTTACCTGATCCTTATCAAATACCAAAATATTGAAAAAAAAAATAATGTTAGTAGCTCTTTAAAGACTGGGATATTTTGTAAATTGTAACTTTAGGCTCTTCTGTCTCAAAAGTTTGCCGACCCCTGTGCTACGGTTATCGTAAGGTTGGGTATCTATTTACATGAAATTAACATTTAAAAAACACCATTAGAACAGTCGTTAGGTAAGATAAAAACAAGCTTTCAACCTAGCAGTAATTTTTTTAAAGATTTTTTTTATATATATTTCAAGAAAATACCGGTTTTATTTATATGAATTTAAAATATATAATCAAAATATTTTTGACACAATTAACTAATATTAATTATTGAATGCAACTTCCCCATCCCGCTTGCCAAATTTCTAGGCAACTACACGGCCGAGTACCGCTGGTTCACCATCGTCTACATCCTCCTCATGTTCTTCCTCTTCCCCGCCCTAGTCTTCGCTCTCTCCATCCCGGGCTGGTACGTCCTCCTCGGCGTCCTCGGGCCCGTCTGCCTTCTCTTCATCATCATCGGCGTCATCAAATGCCTGCAGGCTAAACGTCCCCAGAGCCTGCCCAGAAAGCTCCAAGACTGGATGTTCCTACCCCGGCTGCTACGGTCTTTAGAACCCTTTGATCGCGCCATGCAGAAAGTCTTCTTCTGCAAGCGGTTCCAGACAGACTCTACCGAGAAGACAGACACTGGTGCCACGTCAGACAGACAAGCTAACGGAGAGTCCAGCACGCGACATTAGTATGACCACGTGACATTGTTTACAAACATAGTTCGATGATTGAAAACCTATTTATTCTATAATGTTATTTATAGCTCGTATATGATTAGATAAATTACATTCGTTTTAGTTCAATATGTATATATAGCATGTATATAGCTTACAGAAATTTTTTATGTGATATATTATTTAAAAGATTTTCTCTGGTAATTTTTAAAAAATAATTACAATTAATTTTTTTAGGAATTTTGAGCTCTGTGATCTTGTCATATAAGTTTTGTGAATTTTTATACATTTTTAATAACACGAAAAAGTTGATTTAATTCTAAGATTGCTATCATAGTGTCGTCATTTAAAACTTCCAAAATAACTTTACTGGTCCAAACTTAAGGCAGTTGGTACGATAACTGAACGTCGTACTAGGTATTTGATCACTCTGCCATTGTATCACTTTGATTGAGTTGTCTTTTGGCGTGTTCGTGATTTCAATGGGAGACAATGTTACGTCCATAGTGGCCGATTTAAGCCACCTAGGCCAATTTTTATGGAAAAGCAAACGTTGGGCCACTTTTATGGAAAGGTAAACATTGGGCCACTTTTACGGAAAGGCAAACCTGGGCCACTTTTATGGAAAGGCCAATTTGTAAAGCCCATATAGAACACTTCAAGCATGACGCTCGTTGACTCAAAATGTACGAACAGATATAGAAATAGAAAAAAAAATACTTTCGATTAAGTAAGATGCCAATTAGTGCCCCCCCCCCCTCCCCCTTGTGAAAGCTCGTTAACATTTAGGGTATAAGACATTCTTTTTCTCTACTTTTTAGTCTTATATTTAGGATTAAACAAAGCACCGTTATACAAATTACGCAAACCGTCACATTGTCACATAATCCGAAGGACGATTAATCCTCACCCAGAAGGACAACTCCCCCACCCCCACTAATCCAAATATCCCCACTCAACTTACCCACGGTAAACCCAATCACACCCACCGTAGATTTATTTACATACACACAAACACTCAAATAATTTCCTTTACCTACACTTACAACACCACATAAACATTTCTCCCGCACTAAAATCCCCCACACTAAATTCCCACACACTAAATTCTCGCACACTAAATTCTTCCACACTAAATTCCAACACACTAAATTCTCCCACACTAAATTCTCGCACACAAAATTCTCCCACACTAAATTTTCCATCACTAAACTCTCCCAACCTAAAAATGTCACAAATCTAAACACGATACAAAAATAGTCTCCACCAAAATCACCAAAACATTCAACTCCTCTTACTAGATTATATCACACTCTCCCCCCCCCCCCCATCCCACGCCCGCCCCACATGGAACTAAACGCTGACACAGAATATAAGTGTTAGTCACGAGAGTGCACCAAGGTGTTACTCAGTTCTTAGCGGTTCGCCTTCGTCTTCTGTTTCTGTCAATATATCTCGCACGTAGAAGTTTTTTGTCAGGGGAAAAAACAAACAATAATTTTATTCAAGGGAGGTAATTAACAAATTAAACGAACAAAAAAAGAAAAGAAAAAATATATATATAATATAACAAAAACAAAAAAACATACTTTGGTATTAATTATATAAAATTAATTTACAAGAAAAGTAATTACAACTTTAGGTGACTAATAATAGTAATTTTAGCTGTTAACACAAAAATTAGTATTCTCTAGTCTCAACCAGCTGTAATATTAATACGAAGAAAATATTTTAAACTCACTACCCGTCACAAGTTAAACAGTGTATTCATAAACCTTTGTTTACTGAATACATGGCCACTACACATTACGCTTCACTTTACACCAGGGGTTTACAAACTACGGCGCGGCCCGCGAGGTCCTCTCATCCGGCCCGCGGTGATCCTTTTGTCCACGGAAAAATTGTTTGTTGGTGATGGCTGAGGAGCTTTTGCCCAGAAAAATCAAAGACATGCCTGGAACTAACTGGCCCCCGAACTGAAATTTGATAGTTAATGCGGCCCTCGGACTGAAAAGTTTGGAGACCCCTGCTCTACACGAAACACAGAATAAACGGAACCCCTATATGGGTACCCCCACACTCAACGATCTCACACTCATACAAGCACTACGGCCTTACAGCAACAAAGAACCAATCATAACCACCATCCCTCACACCAGCAACCGCAGCTTCTCCATTTATACTGACAACCCAACAAATATCCCTCACTACATTCAAATAAAGTACAAAAACAAATCCCTCAACATATTAGTAGCAATCAACGGAAGGAAATAAGCCTGCCAACTATGCTCCTCAACCCTTCATTGGACCAACCAATGCCAACGCACAGCATACAACTGACAACATCACAGGAACCAGACATTAGAATCAACTGTACCAACCTCACCTACCAAAGAACCGCCTAAAACTTTAACAGTTCCAACTAAGACCGCTACAGATCTAAAAAGGAAAAAGGACAGCCCCACAGAGGCAAAGCCAAAAACAAAGAGTACAAAAACCGAAAAATTGGTACAAGGGGAAGTAACAAATGCACAAGAATTCACGAAACAAAAACATGATCGTCGAACCTGCCTTTTCTGCCCTAAGTCGTACCAAACAATCAAGGAAGCTAGAGAGAAAATGAAAATGCAGAACACGTTAATTCGAAACAGTGCAACACCTGTAAAGATACAATTGTGCATAATAACATAGCAAAACACTGTCAGAAAAAACATAATGAAGTTTTAACAAATTGTTACTTTTGTGATGTACTCCTGCCAGAACGGTGCATCTTAAAGCATAAGGCAGCACACCATTTTGATCTCTTGACTCAGGAGCAGAAAGATGATATAAGGAACATTTCACATCTTTTAGAGCAGGTTCTTTACATATAGAACTCTGTTAAATCACCACTTTATAAACGTTTTGTATTAGACATGTGATAACTTGTATAATACGTATATATGTTTTCATGTAAACCTGCTCTTTGCTGCCAACCCCTGATCGAGGGAAAGCAGCAAGAAAGGAACACTATTAAACGCCAAACGGCAAGAAAAAAAAATTACTGAATAATCTGTAAAACTCAGACCATATATGTCTTGTGACCGATTGGTATTAAAACAAGATGGCCGAAACCAGACAGGCAAGACCTTCAAAAAAACCTTAGTTGGCCTTCGCTCTGTCCAGAGGATAAT